GTTGCTATTGCAAACCGGCGTCATCGAACCAACAACTTGGCAAACTAGTTGTCAGAGCAGCCATTTATATACTACATTTATATACATTTTACTCATTGGCTGGCCGCCCTGGTTAAGTACCTGAGAACCCTGGCATCCTCCAAGCTGGGATGCAACTCAAATGACATCTTCTACTCACCCATGCCTCACACTCCAACGCTTCGATTATAGCTGCACGCTCGTGGCTGCTTATTGTGCTTGGCCAGCCTGAAGCTGAAAACCCACTGTTGTCTGTCAATGGGTTTGGTCAGCGAGATTCAACCCACTAAAAGGCACTCTCCACGTGGCCGTGAAAAAGAGAAGCGCTACTACTATCCGCCACTGACATAGGATTTGTCGGAGGTATGCTCAAAAACACAACTCCCATGTCATGAGGAAAGAGTAAAATGTGCCAAAAGCCACAAGTCCTAAGTCATGACGCCAAAACTAGCAAAATCAGGAAACTTACGACACCCTCTTGAGGATTCCTGGAATTGGAGAAATGCAGGACAAAACGCATGACTGGAGATTTGTGCGCTAAAAACAACCTTCTGGCAAAGCCAGGACATAGGAAGAAGCTGGGCTTAAAGTTTAAATAAGAGGCCGTCCTATGTCATGTCCATGGCGAGGCAACAATATTACATGACTGGAGATGAGAACGGTTCAAAAACAGACAAAAGTTCCATGTCGTGGTCCCGATAAAGCACAATTTGATGCTCATTCAAAAAAAACCATATTTGCTGATATCATCTTTTGTGCGCAACTCCTAAGTCATATGGCTTTTCATTTCACTCAGGTAGATGCCCCTCTTTTTTCTGCTTCATGATGACTTGGGAAAACCGCCCCGGCAACTACCCATGTCATTGGTACCAGCAAGTCCTAAGTCATTGGCCCTCAGTATACCAAAACCCACTATACAATGGCCCGGGGCGTCCTAACCAAGAATATAGATACGCCACACCACATTGATGTATTTGATTTTGTTGGGTTTTCATGTGGCTGTGCAAATATGCCAAGTTGACCTGTGATGAATCAAGTATTGAGTGGAGTCGGACATCGTTTTTTTTTCCCCTGAGAATACTTGATATTAATCAGGGTCACTGAAGTTATTCCCAGTATTTTTGGGCATTGTTGATTGTTTTGCTTGAGTTCATGAATAACATTCGGCACAGGGCAAGAGCAGCAAACCGAGCAAGAGTCCAAAGGACGCCTGGAGTGGAGCGCAATGTCTTGAAAAGATATTTCCAAATGTCAATGTAGGGACGCTCTCTCCCAAATGCCTCTGAAATCTTTTCCAACCTGCATTGAACCTGCACTGCTGCAGGTGCTTCGCACCCGACGTGCGTCTCAAGCTGTCATGGCAAGAGTCGAGGAATGCCTTCCCTCTTTGCCAGCAGATGCGCTGGACCGTTCCCTGTTGGCATGATGGGGTGCAGAAGCTCTTGCCGGCAAATGTTAGGGACACATTCATTTCAAGCTATAGAATACCCCAAGATACCCCACTGACTTCATATCTTGCGCTTGCTCACATTTTTTTGACCTTTTGATTGCACAGACTTCAATCAAAGACAGAATTGTGTCATTATCTCACTGAGCGCCGCCCGCTGTCATATTGTGGATCGTGGTGTTGCTTGAAAAACACCAAGTATTTTTGTCATTCCATATTTGAGGAGGCAAGGTTTGGGATTCATGCCTTTCGTTCCAGTCTAGTCAGATGACGGATTCCCAAACGACCAAAGCCAAGGTCTTGGGCACAAAGAAGGCACAAACAAAGCAAGAAGACTGATTAAAGAAAAGGGTTCTTGTTCCCAACTTTCAGGTGATGGCACGACCCTACTACATGTGGCTTGTGGTTTGGGTTCATGTGATTTGGCACTTCGGCTGCTTGAGCGTCGTGCAGACTTGGGGCTGGAGCATCGGGTCTTTGGGGCGCCTTTGATGCTGGCAGCGGAACGAGGCCACGCAGGGCAAAGGCAGTATGTGTAAGCAAATTAAAGCAATGCCTGACAGGGTTGACACATATTATTCGCAGTAGCATGCATATATATATATATATATCAAATTAGATATGATAAGTCTGCAACTTTTGACGGCGCCCCTGCCAAGGTCATGTTGAGGTTGCGCGCTTGCTGCTAGATCGCTTGGCGGATGTGACGCAGGCCACGCACAAGACAGCCCTCACACCAGCACACGTTGCGGCATCACGTGGTCACTTAGAGATGCTGCAAGTTGTTTGGCGACATTGAAACTCACTGTTTTGTGCTGACCCATGCTGATTTTTTTGGGCGACAAAAGCCAGAGCTTGGACACATTTTGGCAGATTTTTTTCCGGCTTCTTTGCTGCTTTCGACCACCTCAGCCATAAGGTCTTGTTGGATTTCCATGCAGATGTGCATACACCGAATTCCGCTGGTGCCCTTGCCTTGCATTGCGCCGCAGCCAAGGGCCACGGGGACTGCACAAAGCTATTGCTAACGTGTTTTGCAGATGCCAACAGTACTTGCCACGACGGGAAGACTGCATTGCATTTTGCTGCATTTCAGAGCGTTCCTGGCCCAGCTCAAGCACTCTTGGACAGCAAGGCAGAAGTCAATGCAACGGACCAACTTGGCCACACACCCCTTGTGTTTGCGGTGCGTGAAGGTCATGCTGAAGTGGCCACACTGCTTCTGGAACGACGGGCGGATGTCAACAAGACCTGCTTAGACGGAGCTGTTCCCTTGCACATTGCCGCTGAGAAGGGGCACGCTACCTTGCTTCGCCTTTTGTTAAACACGCGTGCCAATGCGAATCTGAAAGGCAATGATGGCCTAACTGCTTTGGATATTTTGGCGATTGAAGGCAATAAGGACCTTGCCGAGATTCTGACAGAGTGTGGAGCAACTTCTAAGTTCACGACACTTTCCCATTGACAACACTGAATAGTGGACAAGGCACGTCCTGAATGGGGACCTGCTTTGTTTCCCACAGGTGCGAATACGCGTGTGCAGAAAGGAGTGGCTGACTCTCATGGTCTTAGATCAGCTGGATGCTTTGCACAGTGCCTTTGTTCAGCCAAGGACATGAATCCAGGCATGTGGCAGCATATCTCCATTCTGAAGATCGAAAGAGTCGAGAATGGAATGCAGGAAGATGGGAGTGCCGAGCCATACTACAAGGTGTGTCACTCAGGCATTCTCAGCAAGTATGGGCTGATCAAGTTGACCAGGTTGCTTTCACCGTCTATTTTGTCTATGTGCTTTTGTTGGCTTCTCAGGCATTGCAGCGGGGCATAGAGAACCAGGGAGTTTCCTGGCCTGCAAAGTAAGCAATCGAACGTCACGCTTGCCTATCGTGCTTCGAACGTCACGCTTTCCGCCTGCCTTGGTCCGCCTGCCTTTGCCTTTCAGCCTGTCGAAGGCATTGCAGTTCTAAGGTGTCGTTCGTGCCAGGGCTCCACACGCGTTGGGCTTTTCATGGCTCTAGTGCTGTAGTGCCTCTCCTGCATTGATACGTGTGAGGTGAAAAGCTTGATGACTCTAGATGCAATCACTGGATTTGTGCCTTGAAAGGAGTCGATCGTGTCCAACCCCATCTCAGGCAGGGTTTTCAAACATTTAGGAGCCAAAAAAGTGAAGCTCAACTGATTTATTTGCTTGCATGTCAAGTTGCAGAATGCCATGAGCCATAGATATGCCAGGTATATGGCATGAATCATACCTTGTCCTCAAATTCCCTGGGAGGCTTCCAGCCGTTGATGTCAGGCACGCGAGGAAATGCCCTTTGGGGATCAGGCACCTACTTTGCTCGGGATGCTAAGCACCTAGTCCAGCACAGGAGAAAGTTATTTTAAGCAACAGACATGCCAATGCCTGGGTCAAAGAGGCTCATATTTTGCATGACTACAGCCTGACACAACCATTCTGCAACAAGTACGCCCTCTTTGATGGTTCCACGGCCAAGGTATGTTTACGATGGAGGTTTTTGCAGCACCGCAACTGATGGAAGTCGACAAATTTTGCTACTTGGCAAGGTTGTTTAAACAAGTCAGATGATGTCAGACAAGGGCCCGGCCCTGCTTTGCGGTGCATGCCCCACGACACTACGACCAAAGGCTTTGCTTGCTGATGAATGGCTTTGTTTGTCTTGGAGGCTGGAGTGTTTCTAGCTTCAATAGCGTTTGGACTCTTGTTGTGAATAGCCCTGGCAGACCCTGAGCACAAGGGTGTGCTGCCATTCCGCCAAGGTCGGCACAGGCCAGGGTCATGCGAGTCATGCGAGTCATGCGTCATGCACGGTAAAGTTCAACGAGCTGTTGGTGCAAGGTATAACACCTCGGTGGACAGTCTTTCCAACCCGGAGATTTTTGCCAGGAACTTGATGTCTGTCTCGTGTTTTACTTTTTATTCTTTGATTCTCCGGTTCTCCTATCTTGTTTGGGTGTCGGAATTCTAACATTTGCCCACCATTTCTCCGCGCAGAAGTTTCACAGGGAATGCAAAGAGCATGGAGTGTTTGCCACTGCCACCAACATCGGCAGCTTGTTCAAGACTGAGCCAAGGTCACGCAATCCCCTGGAGCTGCGTATCCAGCATACGTTATTACTTTCTCCTGAAGGATGGTCAGCGATGCTTTCAATTAGATTGATTTAAGAGTTTTCCATAGCTCTGAATGCTACAGTCGGAATCTCCTGGGCCAGATGTACGGCTGCCATTTGGCCACAAGTTGCCGGCAGTTTGTTCGTCGCCTGGATTTGGAAGAAAGACGCATTCACAAATGTGATCGTCTCCCTTCGTGTTGCGACACTGTACAGTTCAACAACAGCCTTCGTGTGAACACCTGGCTGCGTGCGCCAATCATGCAAGCTGTCAGGGTAAATTCGTCAAATCCTGGCAGCACAAAAGGCGAGCTGGGCAAGCTCTTGTATACTAAAGAGTTTGAGGGATTGAAGGCTGGTCGAGCTGCCGGCTTGTTTTTTCAAAACAGACTCGAAACCTGCCGAGGGGACGTTGCGGCGGCTGGAGCTAGGCTGGGAACACCTGCTTCAGGGTTATGTGTCTGAGTCTGTGTGTGTACACAACATATTTTTAAGATTTGCTTCAAGAGTGCCTGTTGTGACGTGGTTCGCTTGCACCCTGACCGCAGCTCCCCTCAAACTTTTACGTCACTACATCAATCAATTTGATTCGTCTGACCGTCAGGTCGAATGGCTGTTCAGAGATAAAAGCGTTGTCAGACATCAGACATCAACAACCCGAGAACAGTATTCCCTGTTTGTTTCGTGGGCGAGAACTTATTCTGAAGGGTTGTCAGCCGTCCAACGGTGTCGTTGAAGTCTTGAAGATCAGCCCGGTGTGTCGTGCATCTCTCATACTTCTCCACGCATTTCCGTGCGAGCCATCGCCATGTCGGATTGCTGGGCCTGGGGTGTCCAACAACGTTTGGCGGCCTCGGAGTGCGCCAAGGACGTCACAGCCTTCACCCGTTGCTGTAGCAAGGCGTGGGTGGGGCGGGAACGACTTGTCCAGATTGAAACGTGGTCGGGCAAGGAGGAGGAAGGTGCCAGGAGCATGGCAATCAATCTAAGCATTTTTTGATCTCATGTCGTGGCAGCGACCAGGCTCAAGTGCGCACAAGCCCAGATTCTTGGAACTAAAGGTGTTGATGTGAAAACTTGGCACTCTTATCAGCGCCCGACGAAAGGAGAGCCAACTCACTTTCAATCGGGAGGCAGATCTTGATGGCCGTGAGCAGTTGAAATCTACGCGAAGAGTCGGCGAGGAAGGCTGGGAGACTGGGCCAACAGCTCAAGATTATCGTCATTGTCCCACTTTTTCCCATGCATCCGGAAAAAAACATAGATTTGGTGTTTGGCATGCTGGTTCGTATCAACTAAACTTGCAATTGGCCTTAGTCTCTTATTTCATAGTCATGGACACGAATGAGTTGAATGACGCAGCACTCCCTTCCCAGGTGTGCCATTTGCCATCTCTAGAATACTGAGTGTTAAATACAAGTTGGGTGACGTTGCAGGTTAAACGCCCCCTGCGTCGTAGGCATCTCGCCCTGCGATGCAGAATTGGACATGGTCAGGTGCCTGTTGCAGTGTATGTCAACGCAATAGCGACCAGCCATGCTTAGAGTCTTAGAGCCATTAGAGGGGCCACTAGAAACTTGACTTGTTCACGTCGTCTTCAACGGACAGTGCCACGTGGATATTTGGTGCACCAACACGGCAGACCTAGGGCACCACGGGATTGGGTTTACTTTCCCTTGGGCTAGGGGCGGATTCTTGATCCACACCTCTGTAGCGATGGTGCCAAGCTGGGGGGTTTGACGGGAACGTACCAGAGAACGAATACCTGGCTTGATTCTGAAACACTCATGACTGACTCATTCAGCTTGCTGAATGGCGTTGAGGCGCTGCCTTCCAGGTGTGCTACTGGGCGGGTCTGGCCGGCCCTTTGAGGCATGCGAGAAGGACTTTCGCGCGGTGGCATGGAGCTCAGCGAACATATTCATGAGCTGGTTGAACACAGCTACAACTTCTTTCATCTGACGCCCTCAGGTCCAAAAGTGAACACTTGCTTCTTTGAGGCGACGCTGCCCTCAGACGCCGACCCAAAGAAGGCTGCCAGGGTGCTAGATACTCAGATCGCAGGGGCAAGCACGGCACGACGGACATTGTCACTGAAGACAAATCCCTTCTGAGAAGTCTTTCCTTGACTTTGAGTGGGACAAGACCTTTACCACAAAGGTTTAATCGTGGTTGGAGCTGTGCCTTTCGGGCCTTCCGCCAGCCTGTGGAGCAGCTCGTGGCCCAAGCGCAGGCGGTGGGTGAGTGCGACACCTCAGGAAGTGCAGAACTTGCCACACCTGTCCGACCCAAGCGGATCATCGAACCAGAGCCAAGGTGTCGGCCAGCACGCGGTGTAAAGAACGCGGCGGGGAAGGGTCATTGGACAGTGTAGTGTGCTTCTTCAGCCATGTGGCATAGTCAAAGACATTTCAAGTCGCCCGTTGAACGTTCCCAATATGGGAATGTTCAGAGTTTGCTGCAGACACTGCGCGCAAAAATGCACTCGTTGGTGAAGGAAGGTGTTTCGTTGACATGGCCGTTGAACAACCAGATCCGTGCCGGCATTATATATAGATAAAACAAGGAGGTCAAATGTTGACGGGATGTGATGTGTGTAGTGACCATGACTACTTGTGGGATATGAGCTGATGGTCCCCCCCGGTGTGGAGGTTCAAGAAAAACTCCGGCACCACCTCCACGCTTTTCACAGTCAGCGCCTTGGGGCCTTGCTGGTTCATGTGGCTGGACTGGTCTTTCAACAGCTGTGCTTGGCTGCCATGTGACCCCGCTTCGCTGAGTCTCTCCGTGCAGCCGTGCAGCTCTCGGCTTTGGGGCTTCAAGTTGTTTTGACCGTCCGCAGCCACTGAGGTTCTCGGGGAACCAGAGGAGGCGGGCGCGGCATGTGCGACAGCGAATGGTGAACAGGAGACGGTATGTGCAAGGGAAGCACGTCACATCAGGAGGTTGACCCAGTATCACCTCCAGTTCAAGATGAGAGTTCCTTGGGCGAAAATGGACAGAGCTTCACTCTCAGACACGTACAAAGATGGAGCGAGCGATAGAGAGAGAGAGAGAGAGACGCCTGCATACTCATACTCATGTGTTTTTACAGGGCTCTTGTGAACGCAAGGCAGACATGACAGCAAACAGCACATTTCTAGGCGGCTCTGCTCATGCACAGTGTTCTCAGTGCCAGGTGGGTTTGTTCAAAGTTTTGCTTGCCAAAGAAACCCTCAGGAACCTGCTACACTGAAGCCGTGAAAAGAGTGTGGAATCGGACGCAACTTGAGTGCCCCTAGCGCCCTAGCCAAGCTAGTCTGCATTCTATGGCTGATGTGCCCAACCCCATGTGACAAAGCACTCAACCATGCATGGGGCTTATGTTGCGTGCATGCGTCACAGATGACGATTCAACGTGCTGGTCGCCTTGGCACTGGGCTCTACGGGGATTGTGGAGGGCTGAGAATCGTGGAGGATCAGCAAGCTTGACGGGATGGATTAGGTGGACTAGAAAGCAGAATCAGCTTCTGCTTGGCATCCAGGATGCCACAAGTGGGGGAAGGAAGAAATGAACCTGCTCTCTTCTGTGTTTCCCGTGCTTCAATTTGTACTTCGGGATTGGCCATTTCCATTTGAGATCCACTCCCGACCTTGGCGAGGCTTGTACTGTGAAGACTGCTGGGTTGCTTGGCAAACTGCTTCATGCAGTTCTTGAGCCAGGCTGGTGCCTCGCCAGGCCGCTAATTTTGATGTCAGTTAGCCTCCAGCTGATTGCATATATGCGTTTCCACTGCAGAGTTGAATTGCGTACAGCACAAAATCAGTTGGTTGAAGAAGGTGGGAAATGCCGTCGCAGCTGACGAAGATTGAAGCGGGTGAATGCGGTAGTTGAGTGAGGATCGAGAGGATGACAAGAAAAGGTTTGGCCTGCCAACTTGATGACATGTTCCCCTATAATAGCTACTATACGCTGCCACATGGTGGTTCTAACCTTGGAAGACCACAAGCCTGCTAATGCTAGTGATGTCACCCTGTGTTCACATGGCATCCCCAGGCCGAAAGCTCAATGTGTGGCTGTGAACTTTACTTTTCTCAGCTGTTCTGAACTCATCTTTGACTTTCCGCAGCTGTCCTCAGCGCAGTGTTGTGTGGCAGTTAGTTCCGAACTCAACTTGGGACCCATGTGCCAAGAAGTACCAACTGGTCGGTTGATGCCCCCCAAGGGAAGCATGGACAATTGCGGTTCTATGCCACCAGTGTGGTTATTCCTCAGAATGCCAGTGCAGCTTCGGGCCTTCTGGTGCTGGACTTGTTATTGCTGTGTCATAGGCCTGTGCTGGCTTGTGTTCTTTAACCTGGCAGAACAGACCTCTGTCAGAACAAACGCATGTGGCTATGAATGCAGTTTCCGTTTTTGAGAAGACGCATGTAGCTTCTGTAGCGACAATGCCCAGCTAAAACAAGCTTGGACGAGTGCCGAGAGATTTTCTCCCATGTCCCCTCGCTTGAAAGAAAAGCGCCCATGCCTACATCGGGCCGTGAAGAAAAAACCGGCGAAAGCAATGGATTTGAGGAGACCCAAAGACACAAAGCGCATGTCTTCAGGATGCCTCACAAAACTGCACAAGACCTACAAAGGTCTTGAGGACATCCACCTCCCACTCTTCAAAGAGGTTCAGAAGATTGCAAAAGCTAAGTGTGTCTTGTACCCTGGGAGTCATTGGCACTTGCAAGCATCCTTAGTTTTTCCCAATGTGACGTATATTGATTACAACAAGGCAGTCGCACCATTCTTCCAAGATGCAGCTGTGCAAAATTGGATTTCAGAGAATAAGAACTATGGAGGTTCTGCAAAAATGCAATTTTACCACACAGATTTTGACCACCTTAAACTCTCTGGTGGCTACGACCTGCTTATCTCTATGAGCGCAGGCATTGTCTCCAAGCCTTGTGCTCGCTTTCTGCGCATTGGTGGCCATTTCTTGGTGTCAGATGCTCACTTTGATGCTCGTACCGTGGCGTTGGACAAGCGCTTCAGTCTTGTTGGAGTCTACGACATGACAAGGGAGAAGTTGGTCACCTCCAAAGATCAACTGAACCTTTGCTTTATGACCACGACAGGGCAAAAGATCTCCGCCGAGCAAGTAGAGATCAGCAAAAAGAAGCCCAAGGGAAGCAGAGGTTTCAAGCTGAAGCGCGAAGATTGGTTTTATCTGTTCAGGCGCATTAGCTGAATGAATGGCCCAATAGCAGTACTCTTCACCAAGAGTTGACATTTTATAGCTCGTACAGGGAGCGGCCGCTCTGGAAAAATGGAGTCCGTGGACGTTTGCCATGCCCATGTGGGCCATACACATCTCTCACAATTCGCCCGCGTTCGTCGGTTCGGTGCGTAGCCGAGGATGGCAAACAAAGACCATTTGCTGAGAAAGAGAATCAGTGCATAAGTCTTTCAGCGTGTTGAAGAAAGTTCTGGATGAGCACTTTCTAACTGCAAAGCGAAATGACTTATGACCATGTCGTCCTGGCATGCGCTGCTTCTGGATTTCTTCTCGCGTTGATTTTCTTCAGTTTCTTTGGTCTTGTTCTGCACCTGAGCTGCAGTTTGCGTGGGCTTGTCCGAAGGATGTTAGGTCCGCGTTAGCACCTAGCATATCACACTCCAATCTGCAATCACCCTCTTGACCTTCGGGCCCTCCTACCTTGCAAATTCACCAGACTCTGAGGTGGTTTGCGCCTGCAGCCTGGCTACAAGCTGCTTTTTGATGATGATGTTCAGCGGGCTGAGATCTCATGGCATTTTGCATTCCTAAAGTTGAGATTTTCACTCTGCATGATTGGCGTTGGCCATTGAAGAGAGAGAGAGAGAGCGAGCAGTTGCAAGGGCGTGTCAAGCAATGCAGCTATAGCATGCTACAGCTCTAAGCTGCTCGAAGCCATGCTCCACAAACCCAAGGAAAGTGGCGGCTCTGCCGCAGCCAACCGCATCCCTGCGCTTCTGCTTTGCTCGCTGATCTCCATCTCTGGTGTTTTCCTGCGGCTTTGCTCTAATGGGACTTACAAGACGATAAAAGACAATCCGTCCCAAGAAGGACCCAGGGTGGACACCGGCAGACCGGGTTCGGCAGATTCCGTTCTCCGTTTGGGACCGCTCCGTTTCGGCCGACCCCAGGCGGTGGAGATTCTTGAGACGTGGCGACACCCTGTGTGCGAGCTTCGTCTCAGGCCAAGCGCTGTCTGCTGTGGGATCGGTCGTTCAGACGTCAAGGAGAGGTTTGCTTGTGGGATATCTGCTGGTTTGCGCTAGCCTCACAAAAATAGAACCCTGAAGCAATTCGGATCCTGTTCAGCCTTTATGCGGAGACAACATCCAACAAGCACCCATTTAGTACCCGGCTGGCCTCATGCATTTCTCAGGGATGTTGGACAAGTGAAAGGGTCCTGCGCGATACTGGCAGGCACCCTCCTCATCGCAGACACTGAGCTGCAGGGATGGCCGTTCTGCCGGTGAAAAGGATTGTATTCTTTGGAGGGACATGAGGGCGACAGCACCAGCTACCGCTTTATGGTGCTCTTTGTGATGGAATCCCGAGCAAGGTGGTAAGAGTGCACCATGCATGTGCAGATCCTGGTCCATGAACCCGCTTCAACTTTTAGTTGACTTTAGTTTCACTTCAGTCATTGAATCTTCTCATCTGCACAGGGGCCGGCCGCTGTCTTCGCCCCCTTGTGGTTGGCAACCCGACTGCACTTTCGGTGGGGGCCTCCAGTACTTTGTACAGATGCCTTGTATTTCGTGGCTCTAGCGACTCTATCCACTCTATCCTGCTCTATTTGGAGTCATCATCTTTTTCTCAGGTCAAAGGCGGGCACGGCCAAACACAGACATCGTGTCACATCGCGCCGATGGATGTTGAGCAACCTCAGGCCAAATGCTTGCTTGACATTCTCATCTCCAAGTCCGACTCGAAGCACTCCAAGCGCAAGGACACGTAGCTGCTTTGCAGCATCGTGACGTGAGCAGGACGTGTAGCAATTGACCACGGCACCGTGGCAGAGGGGTCAAGCCGGTAGAGCTTTCATTAGCTTTGCCAAGCAAGGCCATTTGTATCTTTGGTGTGATGAGGTCTGATTCTCTTGGTGCAAGTTGTGTTGAACTGGGCCTCCCAGAAGGAGAGCTTGATCTTGGATCCTGGGGCAAGAGTGCCACGGGATTGAACAGCTTGAAGATCACCCATTCAGGTATGCCGAGGCTGCGAAGCGGCTTGGGCTTTGGTGTCACCGCTGTCACTGGTTTGAAACAACGTGTGGTGGTCTCTTGAATCTAACATCCAGTGCCGTCCACCTAGGTGACCCCTAAAAATGCACAATCAACTACTGTATGTTGATATATGATAATGATAATCATACGCCATTATAGGCAACACAAGAACACTTTCCGCAGTTTCCGCACATCAAATTGATGCACAAGATGCTTTGCACAGACGTTCTCATGCATTCAGACAACCTGTAGGTTTGACCTATTAAGGCGTGTGCCTTGATGGCCTTTATTCGAGGTTTGAGAGTGAACTTGGACAGGCGATAGTTGTTGATAGCTAGGTATATTACTGCACATGATTTCAATTGCCGACGCCTATTTGCCTGTCTGCCGCGTGTCTCAAATTGAGATTATTGTGGAGTAATCCAGTGCCTCCTGAGAGCCGGGGAAAGATCCGGCCATGCCAAAGATCAGTGACTTCCCGTACTCTGATGCCCAGGCTGATGCTTTCGAAAGCAGTGACAGGTCAAACCCGCCCAAAAAAGAAACTTCTTGGAATGAAAAAAGAACTTGTGATGGACGAACTTCACTTCAGTTGAGGTACTTTTGTTTGGATGTGTGAAATCAGCCCGGGGGAAGTGACTTCAATGGGCCAAAGGAATGACTTCAGTCATGTGCAGGTCTTGGATTTGGCGAAGCAATTTCCGACGCCCTTCCATCTTTATCATGAGGAGACGATCCGCAAGACCGTGAGGGGGTTGAATGAAGCCTTCAGCTGGTGCCCGGGATACAAGAACCATTTCGCCGTCAAGGCAACTCCAAATCCGCACATTATGCAAGTCCTCAAAGAGGAAGGCAGGAGAATTTGCACTTGACGATTGCCCTTGTGGGTTGGGTGAGGGGGCAACAAACTGCGGGGGGTTTCAGATCTTTGTGTCAATATGACCAACAGGATCCAACGAACTGAGTTGACGAGTAGGCCCCAAAAACACTCGTTGGCGGGGTTCTCTCTCCGATTCGCCGCATCAGGCTGCGGTGCCGATTGCTCCAGCATGGCTGAGTTGGTGCTGTCAGAGCGAATGGGGCTAAAGGGTGAAGACATCATGTTCACCAGCACCTTGCCTTAGGCGAAGAGGGTTCAGGACACATCCATACCTGTTGCACTAGCTACTGCCTGAAAGAGTTTGTGCGCCACTGCCTTTGATTTGTTCTGATTTTTCGTCGTGCCTGGGATTGATTTGTTGGCTGACTGAGGCAACAACACCCCCCTGAAGGAATACCAGATGCTCGCTGGACTTGGTAACCTTTCTTTCATCAGCATGTTTGAGGGTTATGATGCTGCCCCTGTTTCCAAGAAAAAGATTCTACTGTAGCAGGTTGTTCAATTGTAGTGTGTCCGCGCAGAAAAGCTGCAGGAAAGCCAAAGAGCTGGGTGCCATTGTCAACCTTGATGACATCTCCCACATAGACTTTCTGCATGGGGATGGGCTTCCTGAGCTAGTGAGCTTCAGGTACAATCCAGGCCCCAGCCGAACCGGAAATGTTACCTGGCTGCGACTGACCACTTCTTGCCTAGACTTGAGCGTGACTTTGCACAGAGTTGCCGGACAAATTGATAGGTTGCCAAGTTTTGAATAGTTTTCAATTCACGAAAGCCAGCACCAGCTAGCTGGAGTTGTTCTTGCTTTAGCAAGTGAGGGTCTGGAATCCTCGAGAGCGGTGCATCGCGAAGGGCCCCCCCCGGGTTCAACTCCTCCCTGGGATGTCTCTGGGACGTGTGTATTTCCGCTGGCATAGTGAGCCGACTGTCACCAACCCTCGGCTTCAAGTTGAGCTTTGAATTCTTTTCAAGTTGTTATCAGGTGCTAATCGGAGATCCAAAGGAAGCAAAGTTTGGCACGACTTCCGAACAGCTCTTGGAGGGCTACCGCCGCTGCAAAGAGCTGGGCGTGAAGCGCTTCGGCCTTCATGCGATGGTCGTCTCCAATTGCGGCATGGCCGCAAGCATAACATAGCAGCTCAGTAGAGAGGGCAACGAAGATCAATTGTAGCATCAACGTAACACCGTTTTTTGACTCTGCGTTGTCATGGTTGTCATGGTCGTCGGCCCGTCACATGACTTGGCCCGTTATTCTACCCATGAGAGGCCTGAAAGTCGAAGAGCTGTTGGAGACAGCTCGGATGCTTTTCAACTTGGTTTTGATCATGAAGGACCAGCTGGGCATCACAATCGAACTGGTGAATTTGGGAGGCGGCTTCGGAATCCCCTACCGTCCGGATGAGAAAGTCATTGATGTGCAGGCTCCAGGGAAAGTGGCGAAAGGCCTTCTGCAAAACTTAATTTAAAACACCTTATCAGACTTATATATCATGTCATAGCTGGTCATTGCTTTTTTTGAACTCCTTTGTGTTTTTGCAGACATCTTGCTCACGGTGTTATCACTCCTGATGTCTTGATGTATATTGCATTTTGGATCATGTCGTCTCAGTGGGCACACTAAGTCAAGGCCTTTGATTTAGAATTTAGACAGGAGCAAAGGACGCTACTAGGAGCAAAGGGCATCGCTACTAGGAGCAAGGACGCCACTAGGGGCTCCTGGCCTTACTACTAGGAACAAGGACGCTACTAGGAGCTTTTTGCCTCATTTCGTCTCAGTGGGCGCACTAAGTCAAGGCATTTTGATTTAGAATTTAGACAGGTGTGTAAGTTGGTAGTCAGAGATTTTGTCTACTCGCACTGCTCCCATGTCCGCCTGTTCTGTTTTCTATCTTGTTTTCGGTACCATTCGCAAGCGTAGTCTTCATTTTTAGAGTGCCACCCAAGACGCGGCCGTCAGTTGAGCCGATAATCGGAAATAGCACCCAATAGTGGACTGCTTGGTCCATTGGTTCATCCAGCCATCAACGAGGTGATCTATCCGTTTTTTCCAATGCCAACGAAGCAGAAAAATCAGGTCGAAGCCATGTCTAGCCTCCGTGCCACCTTTTTGGTGTTGAAGGTCCCCAAACACCCCAAAAAGCACCTGGACCTGAGATGGAGAAGAAAGGCCGGTTCAAGGTGACAGTCCATTGGTAGTGGTCAGTTTGTATTATGGAGTCTGGTTAAGCACAGACTAGAGCATGCTGTCCCCGTCTGAGTGTCCCTGTGGGACGACTAAGCTTCAGAACTTCAGTCAGACGGCAGACCGCTACAAACCTAGCGAAGTAAACGTCTGAAAGGCTGTGGGATCTGGAATCCATCAGATCTACAAGGACATGATCCAGGCGAAGGGTCTACAAGTCCGAATCGTCACAGAGTGTGGCCGCTATATCACCGGGCCAGCGGGCCTCCTGATCAGTCGGGTGACCCACCGGAAGAAGATCTACAAAAACTATGTATCCTTCTCCCGACAGTTTGAGATTTTTCTTTTTATGTGTGTTCTTGGGTTCATTGACGAACAAATACCGCTGGCCTTATATGCCCCGTGGCATGTTGAGGTAGGCTTGGATGCTTGCATGGCCAATTTGATGCGGCCTGGCATGTACAACGCCTACCATCACATCACCATTGTCCCAAACGGTGAGCAGGTTCCTGGCCTACCAGACCGCAACCAGGAGATGCCAGACAACAGCAAGGATCTCATCTCCAAGACAGGCATCTATGATGTAGTGGGAGGCCTTTGGGAGCGGAAAGTTTCGGGTTCAAAGGTTCACCAGATTCACCGGGTGTTGTCTCAACGAAGAGTCAATGGAGAGATCCTCAAAGATTCTTTTAGCCCTCGAGGTCTCTGCGAGAACAATGATAAGTTTGCAGTCGACCGAGCACTCAATGCTGATCCTCGACCCGGTGATGTAGCAGTGATCCACGACAGCGGAGCTCATGGGCATTCCATGGGCTTCAACTACAACGGAAAGCCTCGGTCTGCAGAGCAGCTGGGCACCGTTGGCCCTTGTTGGACATGACCCACGTGTAACGGTTGACATCCTTGCCCCGGTGGATTCTGCAATCGGGTGTGGGCACAATTCATAGACACACATATGCATATGCATGGATCAATATTATAGTAGACATATAAGCTGTAAGTATATATATATATATACACATGCACGCTTCCATGCATGTATAGTATTGGTGCCCATTCTGAATGGTGTGGGCACCGTTTTTCGATTGTGAGGTACCTCTACAGATGTGATGGTTCAGTGCTGCGAATTCGCCGAGCAGAGACATTAGAGGCTTCATGCATCCCCGTTCATTTGTTTTGCTGCTGTTTATTTTGGGCGGTGCTGTCAGGACATCTTTAGCACTGTGGATTTCGCAGCCGCACAAACACTCAACAGTGTGCAGAACGGTCAGAGTCTCAGTCACACAAGAGCGGTGATCTGGCCAGAGGACGAGGGTTGAATGCTGAAGTCTTTTTTTGGGGGTTCTTTTTCTTTCAATTTCAGGATCTTCAATACCGAATGGCAAGACCAATGGCTACTAGCACCTCTGACCGATTTTCCGTGAGGAAGGCCGAACCGTGATCCGGCCAACCTCATTAGGTCTCATCAGTCTCTCTTGAAAAAAGGCAAGGTTTATTGGGTCGACGGCATGGAGGCCATCTTAAACAGTGATGATTGCAAAACAACTAGGGCAGCGAGCCAGAACGAACATCGACCTTATCGGAGGTCCGACTATGTTTCTTCACGAATCTTCGACAGTTGGACGAACGATGCTAAGACTTGGGCAAGTCAAATCGTCGGCATTGTTTAGCAACCCTGGTGCTCTCAGAGAAATCTCACCAAAGCTGCAAACTCCGTGCTTTCCATAGTTCGAGACAACCTCTTGGGGTGATCCAAGTCGGGCACTTGCAATAGAAAGGCAAAGCAAATTCAAGCATAGAATGGCAGCCCGAGGGAATTTGTCATTCAATTTTCATGAAATTGCTAGCTGATTTTCAGCCTGCAGATCCCTTGTAGAACTTGCTATTGGCTGAAACTCTGAGAGCAGCCAACTTTCTTTGCAACGTTCCACTTTGAATTTGAAATTACGTTCTGGGCCTCTTGCACCAAGCTCCGCTTTGCTTGGGATTCTTGCTTTAGACAATTTTCCTTTTCAAGGTGTTTCTGCTATCGGGGAAAGTGCTTCTTGGTAATTGGTACTGCAACCCTATTTGCCTAAATTTTGAGACACCCTAGAACAGTTTCAACCCTTTTGTTTGTCCTTTCATCTATATACTGTTCTCTCTACAACTTTGTTTTGCCATTTCTCCTTGCTCCATCTCCTTCTAGGTCTGGACTTTGCTGTTTCCTACCTGTTCCTTGCATGGATCTCGATGATCTACACAAGCTGTCTTTCTTCTCAAGGGATTCATTCCCACATTGAATCACCTCCCCTGGATCTAGCCACTGCATGTCTTCCGTTTGCTTTCAACACCTTCCGGTCCTTTCATGCAGATATCGAGGCTGAGGGGCCTCCCAAGAAACATGGATCCATCCCCGTCCAGATCGTGATGAGAACATGAATTCCATGGAAACCATCCTTGGCTTGTGAGCTTCCACCCCATGAAATTCTGGGCTTTGCAGCCGCACGCTTTGTTGGGGGTTTCGTGTCATTGTATCCCTCCCCAGCTACGTATTTTTAGGTGGCTTCGAAGCTTGCCGTCGCTTGCCAGTTCCCTTCCTTTGTAGGACAAGTTTCTTTTTTTAGGGGTGCTGATGGAACCTCAGAAAGCTTTGAAAGTGTGCGCTGCACTCCGACGTCCTGATGGCTAAAAACCGTTACAAGTTTCTTTGCCCTTTGAACTTATCCTTTTTGTGAAGTTCAGAGACTTGCCCAGATAAGCCTGAGCCTTTAAGCTGACCTAGCAACATGTCTGTAACACATACAGGAAAAGTGAATCTCAGCAATGAAAGGCGAAAGCAGCGAGAGCACGACGTTTGTAGGAGAGGCATTCGGTTGGGTAGGAAAGATGTTATTGAACCCCGAAGTGCACTACTTTATTAAGGAGCTCGTTCAAGCCTTGGCTTGCTCAATAATACGCCATCTCAATCAGCTTCCATATTCGTGCATGTGCATGTTTTGCATGTCTATACATGTCTTTCCATGTCTACATGCTTTGGGGGCAGAATTCGAGAATATGCTGGGCCCCTTGCACCAAAAAGAGCAAAAACATCGGGGCTCTCCATGCGTTCTGCGACCTGATCGCCGTGTGATAGTCGACCGTCTGCTCTTGTGTGACCAAAAAGCCGCAGCAACCAGTGACTGAGAACAGGCGAGACATGCAGCGATTGTCATTTCATGTCCTACCATTCTAGTGGTCATGGAATGGAATTGCAAATTGTGCGATGCTTTCGCTTTCAAGCAAGTCTGCCAGCTCGAGTCCTCACAAACTAGGAAGGCCGCTAAAGAGCAACATCAGCAAACGCACCTTCAGAACGGCACGACCTCACACTTCACGGAAGCATCACCCATAGGTCTTGGAACAGCAGGTAGAACTATATAAGCAGGCAGTTTTGGAGCTTATTTGCTAATGACATGCTATGGCTATGGTCCCAGCCTTGGCTTTGCCTTTGGTGGGAGCTTTTTGTGAAAGTGATCCCGTCATTCCGGTCAGGAGGCAGAGGCAAACACGGATGGTGTGTCCATCCAACATTTGCCTGAGCTAGGCCAGTAATTTGTCATCCAACATGATCTGAGGAGGGTTGATTTGGTGCACGGATCATACGGGGCCTTAGCTTTTGTGTGCAGAGTCCAGGCGGGGCTGCTGCCGTGGCCAAGACCAGCTTCAAGGCGGTGCATGGCGGATGTGTGTAGGAAACGTCGATGCGGAATGGACTGATGCAGACTAAGGCAGGGCAGCAGGTGTTCAGAGAAAGGGCGCTGGTGATCGCGCGTGGCCCTTAAGGGATGAATTTTCACTTGCAAGTGGTTGTGGGTGAAGTCGAACTCATGTCCAGTGCAATGCCCAATTCAAAAAGATAGGTCCTCCTCTTCTGTAGTGCCGGCTGCCCAGGCCAAGTCCAACCAACTTGGCTCGCGCCAATCTCAGAGCTGAAGCGCTCTAGCTTCGGTCACATCGGGGCACGACTGCACCGTCTGAGGTGTACGAGCCTACTGCCAACTGGATGACACTCCGCGGCGCATTCTTCGTGAAACCTTTTTCAGTGAGGCAGCCGGTCTCCTCGCGGTTTCCTCGCTGGGGGATCTCTTGGGATGACAGTGCGAATCTGCGAACGGCCAGGCTCCAGCTGTTCGTAAAGGCCTCAGGCATGGTCAAGCAAAACGACTGGTGTTATGCGTGATGAGGCGTGATGAAGGTTGCACGTTTCTACGCTGCCGAGGTTGCGCTGCTACCGCAGCGTGTGAAGCAGTGGAGGCCCAACAAAATACCGCCTTTCGTTGACGGCCGGCCCGTTGCCCTGCGACGGTAGGCGACAGGCGATACAGCAACAGAGGTGGGGTGTTTGGATTTGACAGATGGCGTGCCTGAAACCATCGTATCGAAGCACATCAAACTGAGGGTGTAACATCCTGGCCACACATGATTACTGGTGCAGATTTAGACTATGGTGTCATACTTCTCAGCCCAAGAACTATGGCAACTATGGGGTTTCGACGCGAGGTCTTAGCCCTACTGGAAGGGGAAGGATGGCAGCTGGAGCTTCCAGAAGTCGAGGCCGAAGGTACTGAAAAGATGAGAAAGGACAGCCATCCGCTTGAATCGAACAGCGATCAGCCTTTCCGCCAAAAGGTATGAAAGATCAAAGATCTCAAGGAAACTCTCCAAAGACCTTACACAAACACAAACCTTTATAGAACCACAAAGTTGTTTCCTGAAAGAAGAGGAAGGCACATCTCCTCCACAGAAAATCGACCCCCAAAGAAAGGGGTCTCCTTGATCCACTTTTCGTGGGTACCGCAGTGGGGGACCTCGCCACATCGACAGCTGGTCGCTGACAGCGCATCAGGCTGTGATCCGGGTGTGGAATCTGAACGCCTACGACAACGCACTTGCACCTGTGGCCTGCAAGGCGCCACTGCCGAGCTGCTGGGGAGGGAGTGGCACACCTTTCAGGTAACTGTGAGCTTGGGCCATGTAAAGCACAAAGATGCTACGCCGTTCAGAGTTCAAACACGACTAGCCGCTGCCAGGTGCTTGCACTCAACCCAACAATTACGACCTTGCACCCTTGTGTGTCCTTCCAGATGCCCGTGTGTCTGTGAGGTCTCCCACTCCTGCGCTCCTAATCTTTCAATAAGTGCAGCACTCAATTAGTTCACAACTGCAACTTGATTGGAACCCCCGTTGTGGATGCCTAGGAGTCGATGTCTCCAATGGTTTGATCGAGGGAACTGCTTGCCGGAGCATTGCTGAAGGAGAGCCTCTAGGCCACGGGAGATGGGACAACGATACGGATGAGAAGATTGCATGGTGGCACAGTGCTAAGCATGCTTCTCGCAAAGTAGCGTGGCCTGTGGACATGACTGCATTTGCGTGTGGCGTGCCAGCTTCACAAACGATGCAAATGCACAGCGGAGAGGGGCCCAACAAGCCTCCTTACCAGCATCACCTTCTCTATAACCATGCCCATGCCCAACGTTCCTTACACGTGTGTGCTTCTGGGTTGTTGTTCAATCAGAGCTCCCAGACAGACAAGCAAAGCCAAGAGGCAGTTGTTTCTCAAAGCAAGATGTCCTCAGTGATTTCTTTACTAAATTATATAGTGACCTTTTCGCCATGGCAGCTGATCCTGCTGATGCTGCTAAAAGGAGGCGGTTGGACGAGCCTGTCATGCCAGCCCCGGATATGATGATGGGGATGTCCAGAAGTATGGCCGCTCAGACGCGCTCAGACGCTTAGAAGTATTTCTTTTTGCTTTGTGTTTGTGTGCCTTGAGCTCATTTGTTTTGCTTGGATGAAGGTCACTATGATGCAATTCAACGAACAAAAGCAAGATTACATCAACAGCCTCTCCAACTTGGAGGAGGGAACCCCTGAGTACAACCAGGTTCTAGTGGAGTGCCACCGCCGTGGAGCGGCCCGTTGCGTGAGCGTTGCAAATACGCATCGTGGTTTGTACGTGAAGGCCGCCCAATTTATCGCTTCCATTCGGGGCGGCACCGGTGAACGTGGAGTTCCTCGGCCCTACACCGATGCCCTGGCCATGTTCACAGACCATGCGCCACACAAGTCCATTGACCAGGTGGCAGATGCTTGGAATTGGTTGGAGAGACGTCCTTGAGATGGTCAATTGGTGGTTCTTGATAGTATCTAAAATTTGAGGACGGGTCTAGAGTCTAGCGGCAGTTTACGAACGAAGCTAAGCCCGTTCTTCGACGTCGGACGGACCGTCTTCAACCTCCGCTTCTGGCGTTCAGTCAGGAAGCTTTGCAAGAGTCGATGTCGCTGGGCGGCTGGCCGTCGGAACCCTTAGGGCCGACCTGTGACTTGCAGAGCATCGAGGCTGAGCCCATTGCATCAGCATCACTCGCGCAGGTGCATCAGGCGGTGCTAAGGGATGGCACCAAGGTGGCTGTGATGCTTGGAGTTGGTGACGGAAGATGTTGGAAGGGTTTGGAAGGTGACGGTTGGTGGAACTGGCAGGACATGATATGTTTTTCTCGGCCCCCGTAAATCGGGCCCTAAGAGGATCTGACAATTCATCTCTGTCGACCTGTCAGAGATGGAGTGAGTCTGTCCGAGTCTGTGGACTTTTGGCTGTCCGACTGAGCGGCCTCCAACCTACTGTCTTAGGTTCCTAAGAGTTCCTAACTTCTGAGCGATGGTCTTCAGAGCAAGTTGCTAAGAAGGAACATTTTTTGAAATACCCAGGAAGGTTCAATACCCAGAGCTTCGAAAAGAGATGTCCTCCGACTTTGCAGTCTTCAAGACGATGGGCACACAAATTAAGCAGATGGCCGCAGGCTATGACCTCATGTGGGTGGTGGAGGACTGTAGCCCCGGATGTGTATACCGGCTCTTCACGCACTTTTAAGACCATGTGATCATGTGCATTCTTTATGTTTGGGGGGACTTACGCATCCAAACGTCAGCGCATCAGCCCAAAGGCAGGCCTTCCGAGCTATGACCTATGTGAGAGTCACTGGAACTTTTCGCATGTGTTCAGGATTTCGAGAAGAACCTCACCCGAGAGCTGGACTTTACCCTTGAAGCAGCCAATGGAGAAGAGACAGCGCGCCAGCTGGCACATCGCGCGCCGCATGTCTATGTGCCAAAGGTGTTCAAGGACGGACTCCTGGAAAACATGCATTCTAGAAGCGCCCCTAGTAGCATCCTTGCTCCGTTCGTAGCGATGCCCTTTGTTACTAGTAGTGGTGCCCTTGTTCCTAGTAGCTTCTTTCTTTGGTGTTGGGTTCTCAGGGTTCAAAAGTTTGTCGCACATGTATTTGACTTTTCAGGAGCTGTCTTCTTCTCGAGTCATTGTCATGGAGTACCTGGACGGCTTGTTGAAGGTGAGAATTACCAGTGAATTTCACCGGCGCGGGATCAAGATCAAGACTACCTGTTCATTCTTGAGTCTCTCTATTCTTGTTGGAGCGTGTATGCCCTTGGAGACGCTCTAAGTCACCAACCTAAACATTCTTGCTAGCTGCTAGCTTGGGTCTCCACTCCTGAATCTATCATGATCTTGCCCTGAGGCCAATGATCCTAAAGCATTGACAGCTGCCGGACTAGATGTTGCAGAGTGTGCGCAGCTCCTGTGTGACACCTTTGCCGAAATGATATTTGTACATGGCCGGGTGCACGCGGACCCACATGCTGGGAACATTTACTTCAAGGTCATTGAAATTGATGGGGAAAAGCACCCCCAGCTGGTGATGCTTGACCATGGCCTTTATTACGACCTTTGTGAAGGTGATCACAATGTGAGACTCAATTTCTGCAGGTACTGGAAGGCCAGGCTGTATCTGAAGTACATTCTGCGGTCAATTTTATTCAGTAGCAATATCAATAGGGTGTTGAGTTGTGCTTGTGCCCGCAGGCTTGTTGTACCAAAGATTCCAGGAAGATGCAAGAGCTGGGGCAGTGCTTCGCTGGATCTTTGCATCGCTTTTTGCCCCTAATCCTGTCACCTTGGTTTGTCTTCGGAGCAGTTGGTGGATCCGTCTCCTTGAAGGAGATTCTGTCTGCTGCCCAGGGCCATTTGCCTGACACAATCACTCTGAGTCTTGGCACATCAGAGGAAGCCTACAGGTGGAGGAAGTGCTTGTTTTCAGTTGATTTCTATTTTTGGCTGGGTGGGTCTTGAAAAGGTTTTGTCAAACTGAAGTGCACGACCAGGAAGGATGTGGCAGATTTTGTGGTAGCAACCCGCATGGGTGGGGCCAACCTTTTGGGCGTCCTGCATTCATTGGGCTACACTCGTGGTTTGTTGGAAGCCTTGAACTTCCCCGAAGAACGGCGGATCGAAAGCATGTTGCGCTTTGCTCTCTTGGGTGACCGCCGTAGCTCCGCACCCGAAAGCTCCTTATGCACCTTGTCCAGTTCGGAGCAGGCATGGGTCAGGTGGCGGGTTCGGCTGCTGGGTGGGCACATCCGCCTTCTTTCGCCGGTGGCCCGCGCACTGATCCACTTCACCAACGCTCAAGATGCGCCCCCCTTGTGGACACTCGCTGCCTTGCCAGTACTACTGGGTGCCATGGGTGTCATGGTGTGGCTAAAATGGCCGCGCGGTCAAGGCAGTAGAGGAGCTGAGTAGCTGCAGGTGCTTCGTTGGGGAGACTCTCCTAAGCACTGGCAAGTTAGTGAGAAGTGTTTTGAGTGGCGTTGTGCTTGCAGTTGCAAGTGCAAGTGAGTTGTGGTCAGGCTGCTCACTAGCAGCCATGTTCTGAGTCACGCCGCCAGCACGACCACTTGTAACACTTGGTGGCATAATGCCCACAAAGACCGACCTGTGAATCCAAAAGACGCATCAGCCGGTCAGGATGAATCCTGTGCGAGAACATCGCATGTGACAATTGTGACATGTTGAGGATGTATTTTCAACGTCGTGGCCCAAGCAAGTCCATACTGTCCATACTAAAAAAAATGTTCAATGACCAAGTCTCTCCAACTCACTCAGCTTTTGTGCCTGACAGCCAGGAGCACGCCCGACTGCAACCCAACATGCGCACTTGTTATGATTCGTCAAAGTTAAGCGAGCGTCTATTAAACGAATTGAACGTCTAGCTTATAATGGATAATTAGCTTATATACATTAGGGCAGGAGGACGCACGCTTTCTTCAATCCCAGCCTTTGCGCCATGTTCATGTCCATGTTTTGCTTAGCTGGGTGCTAGCCCTCATTCTTGACTATTCCAGCCCTTTCACTGCCACGACGATGATGCATGCTTGATGTGCCAGCTGCAGTTGGCTGCGTTGCTTAGTAGCAAGGAGGTCGTCCATTTGGTGAGTTGCTGCTTGGGTCGTCCACTTGGGTTCCGAATCGCACGCAGAGGTTCCGTGCGCCAGCACCGGTCACACTCCGTGGCACCACCAGTTCCATCTCATCCTGGGGGAAAAGTCGGCGTTGGCGCCGTGCTCTCGACTCGCTGGCGCAGCTGCAGCCAACAAGCATCCAGCCAGATGCCGAGACCTGCTTGACTGAAAGTGAGGTTTCTCTTTTTCTTTTTGGGATCTTTTCATGGGAATTGCGATTATTTGGCACACAGTGTTGGTACTTGCAGTCGAGTTTGTCTCAAGAAGTCAAGTGTTCGAGTCGTTTCATTTGTTGCCGAGGCCGTTTACAACGCGGCCATCACAGCCGGAGATTGGCGCCATGCGCTGCTTTTGGCCGCTGAGCTTTTCGACAGGGGCCCTGAGCCCAGTTGTCTCACTGGCAACGCGGCAGCCTACAACGTGGGCAACGCGGGCGGCACTCGCTGGACCTTGGCGCTCGAGCTTTTACGATGGTGTCCTCAGGCGAACGTGGAGACTAACGCCGTAACCTTGGGCACCCAGGCACGAATCCTGTCGCTCTGCTGGGAACAGAGCATCGAGCTGCTTCAGTTGGCATCGAGCTTCCGACCGGAAATCATCACCTGCAATACGGTGCTCAGCACTTGCCAGAAGAATGAGGAGTGGCGGAGGTGCTTTGCTCTCCTACAAGCAATGCGTGGCTTGCCCCTACTTTGCACATCTACATCCCCCCGGCTCCAAAGTAATTTTGTGCTAAAGAAGTGGTTCAAATGACAGCGGGCCTTCAAGAACAAAGGACTGTGAATGTCTTGAGTAGTGACTAGACCCAGAGTCTCCATGTTGCTAATTTATTGATTCGTATGCTGTACCGGCGGCCCACCACTACTTCAAGTTGTGTGCAGCTAGCTAGCTCCTGTATGGCACAGTCATTCCATCAACCAGATGCTGAATGCCACAAGGGGGCTTGACCCCTGTGGTCAGCTGATGCCGCAGAAATGATCAGAAATTGAGGCACTCAACTTTCAGCAGACATTGTATCCTGGAGCACGGTGATCAGTGCCTGCGAGACAGAGGCACTTTGGCAAGTTGCCCTGGCTGCAACTTCCAATCTGCAAGGCAGTGGTTCGCACAGCCTCGCACTCTTTGAAGCTTTTCACTAATTCATGTCAGAACAGGATGATTTTTTCTGACGTATTCTGTATCCAGCACTTTGATCCGCCCGACCGCAGGTGACGCATCCGGCACTCCACCAAACTCGTTCACATACTGTGCCCTGTTCAGTGCCTGTGAGAAAGCAGCGCGTTGGAAAGAATCCATGGAAGGTCTTGCCCTGCTGCCATGCAGGCGTTTGATACATGACACGATTCTCTTGAACTCAGTTCTCAGTGCTTGCGATAAAGCTGCTTGCTGGTTTGCTGCTGCATCCTTGCTCCATGCTGCCACATCCTTTTCAGTGCAGCGGAGTGACATTTCCTTCAATGCAGTCCTCAGTGTCCTAAGTGGCCCGCATGGCCGTAGCCTTTGGGAAGAGGGTCAGTTCCTTTTTCAAGCGATGTTCTTGGCAAGCTTGAGACCGAGCCTCATCTCGTGCAACTCGCTGGTGACCATTTTCGAAAAGAGCAGGAAATGGAGGCACGCGCAAGATTTTTTGGAGAGTCTTTCCAGCGGAAAGTTGGGTGTTAAGGAGGATACAGTGACCTTCAACGGTGTGCTTAGCGCGTATGAGAAGGGGCGACAGTGGGAAAGAGCTCAGTGGCAGCTGCTTTGTTTGCAAAGCATGGATGACATGGATGGCAGGTCTTTGCAAGCTTCAGTGGTGACCTTCGGGGCCTGCATTAGCGCCTACGCTGCCGCTGCTGCATGGGAGAGGTCTGTTGGTTTGTACCAGAATCTGGTTTCGTACAGCATCCAACCCAATGCAGTGACTTGTGGAGCGGCTCTGAGCGCATGTGAGCGAGGGCAGAGTTGGAAGCTGGCATTGGATCTCTTAGCTGTGACTGTGACTCAGATGGGATTGAAGCTGGGGCCTGTCGAGTTAAATGCTGCCCTCACGGCTTGCAGCTCGAGCCATGTCACTGACAAAGCCTTGGGATTTGTTCGGCAGATGCTGAGAAAGAGACTTCAAGCTGACTTGGTGACATGCAATGCATTGCTGACAGTGTGCGCTCGTGAGCATCTTTGGTTTGATGCCATTGAGCTTCTGAGTGGTCGAGCTGCATTGGGCTTTGAGGCTGTTGACTTCGGTCATGTTCAACGGGATTTGTTCAGTTTTAGTGCAGTCCTGTCTTCATGCAATGGCCGGCCTGGAGAGGCTTTGCAACTGCTTGTGGATGCAAAGGGGCGGCGCATTGCTCTAGACCCAGCAGCGTTGACCAGTGCCATGGCGGCCTGTCATAGCAGGCATCTTTGGCAACAAGCCCTGTACCTCGCATCCTCAGTCGGTCCAGTGGGCGTCGATGCAGCTTTGCTCCAATTGTCGCTGGACTCTGCCGTTGCTGGTCGCTGCGAACTGGCAACGGCTCAGCTTTTGGGTTCTGCCGCATCAAGCGGTGTAGAAGCTATACATGTCCTCCTTGATGACTGCTGAGCTTGTTGGTGTTTCTCAAGCCGAGCCTGAAAAGAGATGCGTTGCCAATGCCTTCAACCAGCCTTGCAAGGTTTGCCTTGAGCCTCTCCTTGAGTTTGTGTCAGCTACTGACCAAACTTGATTCTGCCAGGCAGCTGGTACATACAAGACACTGGTCTTTGGCCGCAACCTTATTAAGCAATCGTTTTTGGCGACAAATCCAAGTGGGAAAATGAACTCTGTGGCTTTGGCCGTTTAGCCTTTCAGCTTGAGGTGGATGGGAGCAGATGTGCGTCGCACCTTCTTGCTTCAAGACCGTGGCTTCCAGTGCTGCTGTTTGCGTTGCTGTCGTGAGGGACCTAAGTGATCTGAAAACCAAACGGTGTCAAAACATTCTATCGTCCAGTGCCCGGTTAGGTCCTAGAATACATTAGGCCCGCCAAACCTTAGCTATCAAATTTAAACGGGAGCTTGCGTTCGGCCCGTTCCACTGTTCACGAATACATGAAGGCTGAGCTTTCGGGTGGACATTCATCGATAGAACCTTGGACGTTTCACAACGCTCCTTCTATGTTTCTTGATGTTTCTTGGAGTTTCTCGGAATTCTTGCCGTGTGGTTCAAACCTAGAAGGCCATGTGGCACAAATTCCCAGCACTTTGCAACCCTGTTCCCACTCCTAGCCAGTATCATGGATGAATGTGCTTTGCACAAGCCACCCGATCTGGACTGCGAGGGCAGGGCACATTTGCGCATGACATGGGTGAAAGTGGATGATGTTGGTCGGACTGACGTTGTCAGCTGCTTCACGAAGAGACGCGAGCAGCTAGGGATACACACCGAGATTCTTGAGTCACGGGATGATGCTTCAATCGTGATTTGCGATTACCATCATCGTGCAGACGAAGCCAAGACTCTCGGTTGAATCTATATTACACTCTGACTCACTAACATGGAAGTGGAACTAACATGTCCCTTGGAAGACTACTTTCCATAGTCTGGCTCGTGTTTGCCGACCATTTTGCGCTGCAGCTTCTCAGGTCGGGGTCAGTGGCCGTGCCGAAAGTGGAGGTCATAAAGTCTGAAGTCTTCCGAAGGGTGTGCCCAATCTCCGGCCAAAAGCTATGGCTCACAGATGCCGACTTCGTTGGGGCCATTCAGGAGCTGCTTCAGATTTTCTCGTTCTAGCTAAAGCAGTACATGTGAGGCGCTGTGCCATCACAAGATGGAACCCTGCTGAAGGATGCGCTATACTATGCAGTTTTCTTCGACATAGCCCCTCATCATGTTGAAAGCTTTAAACAAGGCTTGGTGGAAGAGTGCGCCGCAATCGAGCGCTTTGAGCCAAAGACCGTGCGCTTTCATTTGTTTCAGAGCGAGATCGACCCCTCGCGCTGGTTGGTGCTTGAGGCCTTCAGCGAGCCTTCAGGACTGTTCACTTCCAGGAATTAATGCCTTTTTTATTAAGCAAGAGCCATTCTTGCAAAGACTTAGTAAGGACCATGCCAGTACAAACTGGTAGTTAAGTCCATCCCATTAGGTCAGGCGTGCCTTTTGGGGTCAGTCAAGCAGGGGGTCTTCAGGAAAGCGTTCGAACATCATCCAACGAGGTCCAGGGTACAGACATTTATAACGCGGACATTCGCCCCAGGAGTAGTTCGATAAGGAAGTCCTTTTGTTTGGCCTTGTTTGCTGGTGATTCCTTGTGATCCCTTGTGGGGTTGGTATACATGTGCATGTATGCCTTCTGAGTCCTGAAATTGATGTTTTGGAACCGAACATTTTGAGCTCAGGCTGAACACCTCGTACATGGACCATGATGTAGAAACCTCCCGCACTTCCGTCTTCCCTGGGAGGTTTGGAAGAGCATGCGTTGATGCCACACTACAGAAAAGTGAGGGCGCAGCTGGAGGACTGGCAGCGAAGCCCCAGAACACACGACTCTGGATATTCTCTCTTACTGTCTTAATGGACATGAATGGACAGCTACTCGTGTAGTCTCGAGTGAGCCCATCAACGTGGTGTCGATGATGCCCAGCGCGCTGGCGTCGCACAAAGCAGCGCCGAGATGCTGCGATGCTGCGCCGTCCTCCGTGCGACGCCATCCTCAAAACGAAAACGCCTGGCGTCAGCTGCTGGTGGCCGAAAGAGAGGACCCGCCTGCGTTGTGCTTGTTTGTCAAGCCTTGTGGATGCAAGGAAAAGCAGCTTCTTTTCTGTCATCCTGAGGCCCAGATCGGTGTCGAGCCTTGCTGGAGCCTTTTTCGAAAGAACTGGACTGAAAGATGTCATTAAGATCAATAAGACCGCCGATGGCAAAGGTGCCCAGCCAGTCTAACCGCCTTTCGCTGCTGAGGCCTTGTGATGCTTGTGGTGCCTTGGGTTCTGCTCTTCGGCCTCGATTTATTTGTCATCAAAACCAAACGTTCATTTGAGCAACTTCCACAGCCAGCACCAAAACATTGTAAAGAGGCGGATGGCTTAGGGCACAAGAATCTTTGACTGAATTCCGGAAAGCAATTAATTGGGCCATTTTTGGACTATGTCCAGATGTGTTCAGTGCACCAAGAGGCCAATATGACCCTTATGACCTCCCTCTTAAGCCACGCCGCGTCCGTGCCGCCGCGTCCGTGTGGCCGTCCTCGGTCGGTGGCTGATCAGGTTATGCCTTCTGGTCATGGGGCTGCTACAACCATCGAGGTGTCGGATGAGACACCATGGAACACCATGGAACACCGACCTGTAGTGGTATTTGATATTACTATAGATGGTATTATATGCATTACTCATCCTCCCATGGAGCATGTCAAGGGGCGAGATGACATGTTAGTAGAAACATTGCAAACATGAATGATCATAGATGAGTATTGCAATATGCACCTGGCACTAAAAACATCTAAACACTAAAATTCAGCTCCGGTAGGCCATGGGCTGTGCAACGTGGCATTGCGAAGGTTGCGGATGGGGTCCCTGGTGCGTTTTGGTCTTTGAAGCTGGAGACGACGTGCACATGTGCATCATGTGCACTCTAAGCATGAGGTTCTTGAACTTGGCTTGTGTTTTTCCTTTTTTGGGTTGGATGCTTTTAGCAGGAGTCGAGGTCAAAGCTCAAGTGATTGGCAGAACTTCTGAGGCCGAGAAGCTCTGGGTGATGCTTTGCGAAGCACAGCAGAAGTGCAGCTCACGTGAGCGCCTTGCGATCTGTTTTGGATACAGGCTCTTGCTGCCACCTTTGATGTGTTGCACTCACCGTGCTTTCAGGCAGCGTTTGCTGTTAGAGTGAACGGCTCAGACGGGCAGTGAATGGCTCAGACGGGCATTGGACAAATGATGTGGGCACAGGCTCAAGCCAGCACGGGGAGTCCCCAAGGCTTCTGCCGAGGACAGTGGAGGATACTTTTTGTTGATGTCCAGTCCAGCATGTTGTAAACTGGTAGACCCTGGCAACGGGAAACCTTGGAAACACAATGGCAACGCGTTGAGTTGCCATCTCTGAGGAGCTAGTTGCATTGGCAGCGGATGCACGTGGCAGACTAGGCGTCAAAGTTTCAAGCACTGTGACTTTGTAGATGCTGAATGCACAAGGAGATCACCACTGGACAGCGGCAGCCGCTGCGCCCGGACCTCAAAGAATTTGGGTCCCAATGCCTGTCCCCCCTCTATTTTGGTAGATTCTCAACGCAGAGTTACTTTGGGGTATGACAGGGTAGGCAAGTCAGGATAGAACAAGTGGTGGCCTCGTTGTATTCATTGCCAACAACTGACGTTGGTTTTCGATTGGGAACTCGAATGGCAGGTTGATTCTTCACTTCCGCTGCAGAGCTGAAGGTGGCCTGTGCCAGTCTCAGCTTGTCACAGTGTCTGAGACAGCTTGAAGAAAGCAAACCGGAAGAGGAGAAGCCGAATTCAATCTCGCACTTGTTTCGCAAATGTACTAGGGGCTCCTGGCCTTACTACTATTAACAAGAGCCTACTAGGGCTCCTGGCATCGCTACTGGGAACGAGAAGCTACTAGGGGCTCCTGGCCTTACTACTAGGAGCAAGGACGCTACTGGTATTATGCTCCAGCAGCACTACCTCGGAGCAGGAACCCGGACCTCCCCAGCCAGCCGTCGTGTCGCTGAGGCTGACTCCGTTCACCGTTGCTTGTGGCGTCCGCTTTCTCGGCTGGCTCATGGTCCTGCCCTTAAACTGGAGAGATTTGAAGGCACCTAGTCTGGAGACGAAATGCACTTAGTCCCTTAGCGTTACTGAGTGTCAGTGTTCTATGAGTTTTGACCTCTCATTATTTTATTAACTACCCTCTCCTTTGGCTCATTCTCAGTGTGTTGGGGGCTGTATGGCCGGTTTTATTCCTCCCTGAGCTTGGCTTACATGGCACACCAGGCATGCGTCCTGGCCCTGTCTCAAATCCACTATTGCATTCTATCGTTTTTTTCGCCCTCTACCATCAGTCTTTTGCTTTGCGCAAGGGGATTCAAACGGCTTCCCTGACTTCCGTGACTTTTGGTGTTCCGGAGAAACTTGTATCTCCTCCCCGCTTCCTCAAAACAACTGCGAAAAGGATTCCTGATCTCCGCCCCCCCCCCTCTCTCTCTCTCTCCTTTCACTTTGCGCCCAGCACCAACAGCCAATCCATGTCCTGTATACTGGACACTAACTTGTATGAATTCTGGTGGGGCACCCCCTTCTTTCCTTTGTAGGCCTTGTTCTTGTTTCAATTTGTGCGCCATTTTGGGGCACTCTGCTAAAGACTTGTTCAGAAGATTGTTTTCATCTTCTTGGGGGTGGTCTGTCATTTTGGAGGCATTATTTGCAGCACAGTTTTGAGTCTACAGTCTAATTGACTTTGTTTCTAAGGATCGCAAACTGGCCCTGCCACCCGCTGGGATTGTGCGTGGGGCGCCGGAACGAGGGGACGAATTCGACCCATGAAGACCGGAACGGAACGACGAACGATGCCCCCCTCTTTGTCACATAATTGGACCAAGGGTGCAGATGGTGGTAGAAGTACCGGTTTAGACACAGGGTAACTGGACCTCCTGTGCCCAGTTCCTTTTCTTTCTACGAGGTTTGTTGTGTTGCACCTTTGGAGGCACTCCTATTGCCATGGCAATCGACTGCATCGGCTGGCTGAGTGTCAAACTTGGTTTCGCGGCGCACCTGAGCACATGCGGTCTGCAGTCTGTCTTGCTGCTCCAGGTGTGGCCAAGGCGACCCTGCTGCAAGCAGCAGGCGCTCCAGTGATGATCGTGTCACTTGTAGGCACTTGGGGGCCCTCGAGCCCTACAGCATCGACCTGAGGCAACGGAGGACGCTGCTGTGTCAAGACGCCGCAAGATTTGATGCCAAACAATGATGTGGTTGTCGTGGAGGTGGCTGTGGTGGTTGTGGTGGTGGTGGTGGTGGTGCTGTTGATGTGCCCTGTCTAAGATAAAACCTATAAATGATGATACGTACTTTTTGCAACTAACTACATGACCAACATCTCTGTAGATGGCCGGGTCCCGTAGTGGTTGCTCCGTTGCTGCAGTAATGCTTGATCCATCTTGATCCTTTTGATTCCGCCTTCATTCTGCCAGGACTTACGTGCTCTGAGCGCGCGGCACGAGACTCAGTTCTGACACATTTCGACTCGAACAGCCAGCACCGTGCGTGATGGCCTAATAGGGCAGTTTGCGCAATTGCCGCACACTTCAAGTTTGGTGTAGTGTTGGCACGGATCAAGCTGCTTCGGGCACTGGAGATGCATCGTGTGTCATTTGTCGCCTTATCTGAGCCCCAGGTTGTGCGACTTCCTCCTCCCGATTTTCCACGCGACAGGGGAGTCAGTGGCACATGTCAGATCCTTGACTCTTGTTGATCGTATGTGCAAGAAGGGGTCGTACGGTACGGCGAGCGATTCTTCGTCGTATGGGTCTGTCCGACCGAGGTTGCCCGAACTGGAGAGCGAGTGGCCATTTTGAAGGAGTGGCTCGTGCAGTTGCTGAGGACCTAGCAGCTTTGTTCTGCCATAGCCAGCTGAAAAAGGCCAAATGGTGAGTGAGCATTTTCTAAAGATAATTCAATGATGATGGCAGGTGTTCCCACCTACTGTATCCGTACAGATGGGGCAAAACCATGAATGCACTAAAGCCTGAGGCAAAGCACCTGTGGAAGATGTGGCAAAGCACAAGCCGTCGAGGCTTTGTTTCTTTGGCCGTTTCTGAGGTCTGGACATGTCTTTCTTCGTTGATCCTTAAGTTTCTTCTTTGGAGGAAGGTCTTCCTAGGTCCTATGTTGGACCTCTTCCAGCAACATGCCAATACGTTCAATACGCCTTTTCGACTACCCTTGGCAATGGCATGCCATGCGGCACTTTTCTTCGTGCCTGTGGTGAGGCGAGTCCAGCGGCCTGTGGCAGGTGCAAGCAGGCCCAAGTAGCCAGTTGCCTTCGATTTAGGAGAACAAATGGCACAGATTTGAAAGGCTTTTGCGCAACTCATGCCAGGTTCGCTACTGCAGCCGTGAATGTCAGCAAGTGGATTGGAAGGACCTTTTTCGGAGCGTACGGCAGCCCGGCAGGTCTTTCCTACTTGGGCTGTGGGTGACCAGGACCGACACAAAGCAGGTTGCCTCCCGTCCGCCGAGTCGTCCGACCCTTAGACGCGGCGGTCTGGCGCGCACCCCATGGCCCGCGGTGCCCGTATCTCGCGGGCTTCGGTGCCAGGCTTTTTGGAGCGGGACGCCCAGACACGGCGGTGTCACGGCTGTGTTCCTTTCATCTTATCCCTTCTGAAGTTCTTCTGAATTCGCAACAGGGATGCAATACTCCAACCCTTACATCCCGCAACTGATGGGCTCACAGGGTATCGCACAAATGTAACTGTGCTATTCCCCAGAATGGTTCGCCGTAAAAAGCCCTGTGCACATCACATCATGCACATCGACATTGATGTGGAACATCACAACGATGTAACTAGACTAAACTAGAGCATGCGTTGTTCCAGCCCCACCGGCTAGGCTGCTAGTCATTGCATCAGATTCGCGAGACATCCATGGCGATTGATGCTTCCAGACTTCCGTGGAAACACAGGTGGCAGCGATCATAGCAACATGTCTGGCTTTTGCCTCACATGGCATGTTAACAAGATGCTTTCATGTATTATATATCATGTATGGGTCTATCCAGATGCAGAGGTGGACCGGCACGTCTTTCAAGCACGTCTTTCAAGCTTGGACCATCGAAGCTGACATGATGCTTGTCATTCTCTTGCTTTGTTCAGGTGGCATTAGATGTCCACAGCAATGGGCAAGAATGCCCTGGAAGTGTTGCCTGCTCCTCACTGTGCTTGAGCAGTTCCGTCCGTCGACCGACCTGCGCGCTCGACCTGCGCTCTCGACCGCTCCTGGCGCGTTCGGGCTGAGGTCGGAGGCGGATCCGGCAGGGGCCCCTCCAGTCAGACTCACTAGACAAACGTGTTCCTACCGTCAGTCGACTGGAGCCAAACAGGTTGGGAGCCTTGTCCAGTGCAAACGGAAAGCATCGCTTGCCTTCTGTCGACAGAAGACGGCCTTGAGTCCAAGGTTCTTTGCCAAAAGCTGATTCAGGCTATTCGAAGCTTCCCTCACAAGGCTTGGGAATTCGAACTTGAACACAGTTTTACACATGCACTGTGAGCAATTGTGGGGTTGGCAACAACGTGTTGGCAAAATATGTCATCAGGTAGAATCAGGTAGAACTACTGACCCTCTATTGACATTTTTTGACCAATGGTTTTGCAGACAGTCTAAGGATGGACATGCCGTCGGTGTCGGGCTTGATGCAGCTGGGGCCAGAGAGATTCGAAGTCAGAGCACTTGGCAGATCCAATGCCCATGATCGTTGCCATGATATGTTACTGATGCTACCAAGTAGACGGGTGACAGCTTCTAGAGAGAGAAAGCAACATTCCTTTGTGTGAGGAGGCATGGATGAATACACATCAGCAATGCATAGAATCCCTTCATCACAGGTGAGAAGGAGAGACTCAGTGAAAGAAAACGTATGAAAAAGTTGCATCCAGAAGTCGGGGCTACTTTGGAAGGCTTCAGGGATCTGAAAAGTGAGCCATAAGAACCGGTATAACCACAAAATCATGTATACCGGCCTTGCTCCCATGTGGGGAGCATGTCGTACCTTGAAAAGCTCAGACACATTTGGGAAGCTTGTCATGCAAGTCAAGAAGACACATCGAAAACTCTGCAGAAGATCGACGACCCCCAAAAGCTTCTGCGGATCGTTCACTGCAATGGGACTATTGGGACCACAGCGTTTCAAACACTTCGCCAGTTGTGATGGACTGATGGTTGTGACTCCCTGGTCTACCTGCGTTTTAAACGCGCGCCGTTGGCCGGAACATTCTCGGCTGAGGTCCAAGCGAGAAGTCACACGGCTCATAGAAGTCAGGGCAGCTGCATTTTCGTTGTGAAGCATTGGAACCCTTTTTGATCCTTTTCCTAGTCGGACAGTCAGGCTTTTCAAGCAAGGATGGTGGAGAGTTGTTTTCCTTCCTCTCACTTGCATGTTTCTGTATCAGACAGTGGCTGACTGCAAGGCCAAGCTACACCACTCTCAACTGCAGATGCGCCTTCGGATGCATTGGAGACGGGTGAATCAACCAGCGTGCTAAACGCGTGCGACCCCCCAAGGTCCTGAAACATCCAACCAGCCGGCGTGCAGTCGAGTGGCGTCTTGGTGCGAATGGTGCGAATGCAACAGCCCAGCTAGTGGTAGCTAGTGGCACTGGCTTAGTCTTCCATCCTGGCCAGATGTTGCAACCCTCCTTTGACTTCCATAGTTGGTGTCAAGCCGAGGACGACTAGTGACTTGAACTCCTGCGTGGCCCGCAGCTTCGAGAAGTCCAATCAACACCCTGGGAAAGCAGCAGAACGTTTCATTACTGTCGGGGCCTCGGATGGCGTTTCTTATCTGTAGGCCTTAGAAACGTGTGATGTGTTTCTGTCTGAAACTTGGAGGACCTGCTGCCAGAGCTGTCTTTGCCAGAGCCTTGGGCGCCTTGGCGACAATGTGCGTGCCAGACAGCGACAGCTCCAGCTCGAGCGACGCCGGGCGGCTGACGCTTCACTGACCGTGCTCGAGCTGGGCGTGCCAGGTCTCCTTTCGAAGCTCCAAGGGAAAGCTGTTCTTCCTGAATCCCGTGTCGAGGTGAGATCAAAGTCTCGTGGCACAGTCTGTCACAGGTTTCCAAGTGACTTGTTCGAAGGCTTCGCTTCTGTGTCATTTGTCGCACAAGCGAAGTCACAGTTGTTAGTTTCAGGGATACAACTTGGCACCATCCGCTGGAATTCACTTTGCGTGAGATCGCAGCGTGGCAGCCTGAGTTTGATGCACCCAGTCCTTGTCACCACTCCAACGGGAGGTTCTGGTCCGGCCCCTGAGGTTCTGCAAAAGCCTCATCCAGATGGACGAGCCTTGGCGGGTAGCTTGGCATATGTGGGTGGCGGGTCCACCAATGACGGGACGCCCAAAGAAAGTCTGGAGGCTGCACGCTGTAGAGTATGAGAGTATGCGTGTTCCCAGAGCTGAGGATGGTCCCAATCTAGAAAAACATACACACACACAACTTGGAATCGTATTTCCTCAACAGCGAAGCTTAGGGGTCTTCAGCCATAGTCAGGCAGGTCCCGGAGCAAGTTCCAGGCAGGTTGCGGAGCATGTCCCTGCTCTGGAACTGGAGCAAGTTCCAAAGGAGGTTCTGGAGGATGTTCTTGAGGCTCCGGGGTTCCGCAACCTGGTTCTGGAGGTTTGGGGCAATTTGCAGGTTCTGGAACTGCATTTTGGAATATTTAAGAGGCTTACGCCTGACAGCCGGGCGCCGGCCAAGCAGGGTGAGGGTTTGTGTTTAGCGGGTTCGCTCGGCGGGAAGGAAAAATCAAAAAAAGTTGTCGCGGACGATGTTAGTGAACACAAATTGCGTAACATATCTCCAACATAGGCCTAAGATAGCCAACATACCCCCAACAAATGCTTTACATACCTTCCAAGATGGCTCAACATAGGGATAACAGAGGGCAACATGGGACCAACGTACGCCAACGTACGCCAACGTACGCCAACATAGGCCCAACCCAGGACAACGTATGCCAACATAGGTGTAACATAGTTTCAACATGGGCCTAAGATGTGCTCAACATAGACCACATGGGCCCAACTTGGCCCAACCTAGTGCTAAGATGCGCACCAGATGGCGAAACTTCGCTCAATATAGACCCCACCAAGTCTCAAAAAGAGAGAAAGAGAGAGACAGAGAACCCAACCCTAGGATCCAAAAAAGCCGCATAAACAGGGTGAGTGTAGGGCACGGCACTTTCTCTTCTCTGTCGCTCTTGCTTTGTCTTTTTCATTCTCTCTCTCCCTTTCCTCTCTTTGTCTGTATCTGTCTCTGTCTTCGTCCGGTATCTCTCTTTCTCTCTCTCTCTTTTTGTGTCTCTGTCTTTCACTTTCTTTCCGGCTCTCGCTGTTTCTCCCTCTCCCCTCTCCTTTACCTCTGTCTCCGTCGCGGTATCTGTCGGTAGCTGTCCCTGTCTCTTTCCCTATCCCTGCTATCAGGTTGTGGGGGAGCATCGCTCTCCCACCCTCGCGCAGGACGGGGGCCGGGACTTCGGGCGTCCCGGCAGCATCCTTCGCAAGAAGGGGGCTGACCGCCCGGGTGCACAGTCAGTGCACCGAAGGTCGGGTGAGCCGTCGAACACTGCCACAGCCAGGCACAAGGTTAAGAGGCCCAGCGGGACTCAAACATCCTCGATCGCGTCGACGTCTCCGTCAAAGGTCACGTATGACAGAGGTTAGTCTTCGTCCAAAAAATACCCTACCAAACTCGTCCATGACATAGTTTTGCTACAAAACACAACCCACCAAACATCTGTGTTCGCCCGACTCGCGTAAGATAACAACCCACCGTATATCTGTGTTAGCCCGACTCACGTAAGATAAACAGGACTGAAGTGAGTGCTAGATTGAAACATATCACCTATTACATGAGTTTATTGCCTCGAAAAACAATCCACCGCACTCGAAACGATTATCGTTGACGTAGTTCTACTACAAAACCTTTCTGTTTGCCCGGCTTGCTTCAGACAGACTGGACTGAAGTGACTGCCAGAGAGACGAGAGACAGTTGACTGTGAGCGACTCACCGTGGCTCGCTTACGAGAGACTGAACTGCACAGACTGCAT